ACCGTAGATTCTATAATGCGACAAGCACTCGTCGACTACCCCGGAGTGCATGTTGGCCCAGGTACATGGATTGTTGACCCCGAGTTTGCGGATGATTTTGTACTTGGATACACCATGGACAACCTCCAGCCCGTTGTCAGTCGTATGAATCAGTTTGCCCAGGCCATGAAGACATTTTCGACCGAAACTTCTGCCATGGCACAATCCCTCTCGATTAATGAGGAGCTCGTCGAGTGACGCTGGGGACGTCTCTCGTACCAAAATCCCAGGGAACTCCATGATCTTGATCATGGTCATGTATGGAGCCGGCTTATCCTTTCCAAGGAGCGAACCGCAGTAAAGTAAAGTAAGCTTGTCGAAACAACCAACGTTTTCAAGTATCTTGCCTCTACGATAAGATTAGTCGGCCAGGCTGAGGACGAAATGTAACTTCGTGTAGATAGAGCTAGAAGAGCCTTCCTGCAACTCCTCAAACCGTTATGGAATTAATTTGAAATAAGCTTCGGGTTTATCAGGCTTCCTTTCGCCCCATCATCACTATGGTTGTGAAACCTGGCCGCTAAGAGTATTAGATACAAAGAAGCTCGAAGTCTNCCTGTACCGCATAATAAAAGTAAATTGCAGAGATCGGATTTCCAATGATGGGGTTCGAAGGTACTGCTTGAGCATTGGCAAGCTTTCAAAAATGCTACAACGCCGGCGCCTTCAGTGGATTATTCATGTGCTCCGAAGACCCGACGCTCAACTCTCGCGACAGACTTTAGCCTCCGCACCGTGCCGTGTGTTCATTGGAGCTCTGTGTATGCTCTGTGTGTTGTTCATAGAGGTTCTCTTTCTTTGTCTTCCTCTAAGTAGGCCCGATCCCTCTTCATATTGTGCTTTATCTTTTGATTTTTATACATTGTGAGCTTGGCAGCGATCAGTGAAGTGAGCTTCACTGTATCTCGCTGTACGATGATGATGATGCACCGTGCCGTGGATGGCGTTGCCGACTCGGTGGTCAACCGAAGACCTGGAGCAGTACGATCAAGGCGGATTCGGAATTACTGGGCCTCCAATCCGTACATGGAATTGGTAACTAGAGCCAGAACTCGTTTTTACTCTGCGTCAACCTTGCTACAGATCGTCATGCATGGCCCACCATCATTAGAGACATCCAAGAAGCTGAATTATCGTCCCGCAGGAGTTAGTCGATCAAAAGTAAAAGAGCAGTAAGAACAAGGGACCTTCTGGGAGCCTAAGGTATATATGCATAAACTTGGGGGTGGGATGGCTTCATGTATCTCCGTAGGATTATATACCAGCGTAAACCAGTGCATTATTATATTGTCTGAGGACAGACTGTGTTCCAGGAAAATCACGGTACAATAATCTTTATAAAAAAGAAAAAGGTTCCATGATTGACTTGTGGGCTGGATACTGCCAGATTGTCCAGGTCAAGGCAGGTGAATTTTGTTGAGGAATTCACAACCGGAGCCTTTGGCTAACCAAAGCCTGACCCGCAAGGCAGTGGAGCGGTGTGTAAAGCCACTGTCCATTCGGAGCCGGTGTCCAGTTAGTTGGATCATTCGCCCTTCGGACGGAGTCAAACGTCCAAGGTGCCCAATCGAGCCGGTGACCACTGCCACAATCGGGAAGGTGTGGGTGTGGTTCGTACGCCTCCTCATGGTTGGTTTGGAATCAGGGGTTTTGGCCAACTCTCCTAGGTGAACTGCCAGNCCACCAACCCGGTTAGAGCCCCAGATGCCGGCTTTTCGTCCTCTCACTTTGACGGGAAAACACCTCCACCACGAGAAGGCAGTGAGTAGGGCTTCCTCAGCAGAATCTATTTGAAACTCTTGGTCGTATGTGAGCATTTGGCGAGGTGCAAGGGCAGGGTGACCAGCCGTAACCCTATACACCCACCCTCGACCATACTGAGGAACAAGTGTATGCGCACGCACGTATGCAGGTGTGCACGTGTGGGTATTGTTGTATGTTGGTATTTATTTACGAACGTGTGTGGTGCATGTATGTATAGAAGTGTGATATAATAATCGATATGCACTCATGGAGTTATGTATTCATGAGTTATGACGAAGTGATTGAATCCATCCATCCGTGTATCCTCATGTATGGACTCATCACCTTACATTCTCAATCCGTGAATTATGATGAGGCACATTTGAATTCTTGCAAAGCGTGAGACAAGGGAAAGAAGCCCCCAGATGGTTTGTGTTCGACCTGAAGGTCTACTGAGATACATTTGTGCACACCAAAGAACAGACGTCAGGTTATGGGATAACTAAAGCAGTCGGTGGTTATCCTATTTCTCCATGGAACTTTAAAACCTCTAGCATACGGCATAAGGACCACCTGGTAGACGTCCGTATACTTGTCATTTGGTTTTCACTTATTATACCGAAGCGCTGTCTCTACCCCTTGCCTTCGCTGCTACAATGGGCGTAGCTTGTTTCTTGTTCATACCAGTATCTCCCAGACATACGCTTGTTTTGGCCCCTCCTGAAGCAAGTTGGATCCCACTGAAGAGAAATCTCTACGTGGAACTACAAATC